TAGATTCTCTTATGCTAATTCACAGTTTAGTATTGTGAAGTAGATTGATTAGAGACCATTAGCATGGTGTAAGTGCAAGCAGTGCATTACCAAGGCCATCATGGCAGACTTGACATTGAATGCTTGTTTAGTGGAGAAGTTAAACAATGAAAATTATTAAGTATGGAGTATAATAGTAGAGCTCTATATTGGAGGTTAGAATCTTTGGAATCTCATTGATAGAGACAACGCTACACCCCCCACAATTTCAAGTGAATTGAAGAAGTAGTAGGTAAGGGTTAAGAAAGCTCTTTTACATGTTGGCTATTACTGTTGAGCCACAATCCATTAGATATGTCAAAGAGGTGAAAACATCAAAGGAAGCATAGGACACATTGACCTCATTATTTGCAAGAGCAAATGGCGCAAAGTTGCAATTATTAGAGAATGAGCTTGCCTCGATTAAATAAATTAAAATGATATGTAGGCAAGTGAGTATTTTTCAAAAGTTAAATTCATTTGCAATGAGATTTCCAAATTAGATATGAGAAATCCTATGATGAATATGTGAATGAGGGGAATTATTATTACGGGATTAAACCTAAAATATCATGGCCTAGTTATGATAGAAAGAGGTTGGAATAAGGAATCAACTTTAGTTAAATTGAAAAGTATCCTAGGTAATCATGAAGCTTTGGATACACAAATGTCCAAAGTTTGAGGAAAAGAGGAAAAAAGAGAGATCAACAAGAGGATTCCAACTTAAAGATGATTGTGAAGCATGAAGATAATAGAAGGTGACAAAATAATTGTGAAGATCGAGACAAACCTAAAAAAAGAAAAAATAGTAAAAAGAAAGGTTAATGATATAATTGTGAGAAGATCGGTCACTTTGCCTGAAATTGTTGGCATAAAAAGGCAAAAGGAAATGTTGTCACCTTTAACAATAAATATGACAACAAGAAAGAATAAGATTTTTAGGCTTCAAGCATTATTGAAGAAGAGATGGCGAGAAAAAATTTCAGTGAAGAAGAGATGGTAGCAATTTGCATCACGAAAGAAGCTAATAAAGTTAAGGAAAAAAACATTAAGAGTTCAATTAAAGAAAATTATGAGGATGAAAATGAAGAAGATGGAGACCAAGATTAATTGTTACCACTGCAAAGATCTATGAAGATATAGAAGTTAGATGCTAATAATGACTTAAGGCACAAGATAAAGTCAACTATATATGAATTTTTTTAAGAAGATAAGATTGACTTTGACAAATTTAAGAGATCATTCGAGAGATTAAAAAAAAAATAAGAGGCAACATAAAAATGATGAAGTTAGAAAATTATTATGAGGAATGTTAAAATATTACCGACCAACTCTTTCCCTCTCTTTAAATTTTTTTTAGGTTATATTAAAAATATCTAGCTTCTAGCATAATCTTGGTTATGGTGGTGAAAGGAAGCTGCGGAGAAAAACTCCACCGACATTGAAGTGGTATAAATATGTGTGAATGTCATTTGGGTGGCGTGTAGCGGAGATGGGAGAGAAAGAAAGCAAAGCGAGCGTGTGTGATGACGTGAGTGAGAAGAGAGGAAAAAGTGGGTGTAAAAGTCAGAAAAGTAAGGTGAGAAAGAAAGAGTGGGGGAAAATTGTGAAGCATTCTTTTAATTTTATTTATAAACCATTTACAACATATTTTATCAAACTATATTTTAAAATTTAATAATTTTTAATTTTATTTTTATTAAATATATATATTTTAATAATATAATTTTTTTAAAATTTAATAAAAGGTAAAAAAATATTTGTGATGAAAATTTAAAGTCATAATTTATAAATAAAATTAAATTTTTTTTTTCTGTAACTTATAAAAAAGATTAGAGAAAATAAAACATAAGAATTTGTATAAATTATAGGGTATGTTTGTAACAAAAAAATATTTTTAATTTAGACCCTCTCTTCCTGCATCCTTAAATCCCAACATTGCATGCATGTTGTCCGTGACTGTGCTACTGTTAAACATGTTTGGAAGAATGTGGTTCCTTCTTCCAAGCATGGGCCGTTCATCCAGATCGACCACTGCTACTAGTCGTCGTTGATCTTTTTGTGGTTATTTTGGAAACGAAGGAATAATGAGGGCGTGCATCAGAATTCAAATGAGGGCTTGTCATCGTCGTGAGCTGTTATTTATTCAGTGATGCGATGGAAGCTATCCGGCTCCAGCTAATCCAATCTGATGACTGCATGCTGATCAGAATCTATTTTGGGAAATATTTTAAGTAAATTTAATGGTTCAATGTGCATGGCAAGTCAAACTGGTGCGTGTTGCTCGATATGCACTTGGTTGGTCAAGGTGTACGCCTGTACGGTTACAACTTCGACTTTTCTTCAGGATATTGGCGGCGCTTGGCAGTTTTTGAGTTGTTTTTTGTCTTCTAATTCCGCTGCGTTATATATATATATTTTTTTTTTCTCATAAAAAATATAAATATTTTTAATAAAATCTCACTGTTTAATAAAATAATTATTTATTTTTAAATGAATTTTATTTTTTTATATTTACTCTTATTAAACACCTTACAATAAATATGAAATCATTCATCAATAAAAATATTTTTTTAAAAAAATTAATAATTATATTTTAAAAGATTAAAAATACTTTATATTTTTAAACATTTAATTTTTTAAAAAATATCTTGAATGATGGGAGTATATATATATATATAAATACTTGACACGATATTATAGATGTTTTACGATGATATTCACGTGTATGCAATTCTAATAATGAACCTGTGTGATTAAGGGATGCTTTTTAATAGTTAACAAAATACTCCCTCGTGCGAAGTTTAAATAAATAATTCTTTTTCTAATTTCATCTATTATTTATTTAATTATTATCATTTAAATTTTAAATAATAATTAGTAATTATTATTATTAATTAATTATAAAAAAGGTAGAATTAGAAAATTATTTTTTTTACAATTTCAAGATTATAACTCGCATTTTTTAATAAATGAGTAGTTAATTAACTTTGTTTTATATTAAGTTAAAATCAACGCGAAATTCCTTTGTAAGCCTATCACACAAATTCACATCATCATTATTCCATCTATTGATGGTGAAATATAATAACAAATAAAGTTCAAGATAATAAAAATGTGCAACATACATGACGTGCAAAAATATTATTATACTAATTAGGTTTTAATTAAATGTTTTCATGTTTGCATTTGAAATTGTATATTATATTAGTTTCTAGTTCACATTATAAACGCGAGATACGACGATATATAGTTAGTTAACAATCAAACATTAATATAGGTTTTAGCAAATCTAATCTAACATTGAAGGCCAACCATATACTTATTAAGATTGACCATGCATGGATGGGAATATTTCAGAAAAACCTATTATTAAGAAATCAAATCTTTAATAATCTAGAAGATACACTTTCAATTCTTAGCTAGAGAGAATTGCCATACCCACGTGGGTAGAAATAATATTGCCATGATAAGACTATAAGAAAGAAGTTGAATGACAAGGATTTATACTATAGTATTCAATTAATAGGTGTGACATAGTTATAGTCCTAGAAAGCTTTCAATAAAATAATAGAACAAAATGTACGAGACTCTTAAAAAAAACAATAAAATTAATGTTAATAATTTGATGTTATTAAAATAATATATATATATATATATATATTTATGCGCAAATGACCTCTCCATTAATTATATATATATATATTTATGCGCAAATGACCTCTCCATTAATTTTCACTCACTTTTTTTTTTTAATAACGAGGCAACAATGGTTGGCTGACTTGGCTCATTTAAAATAATCCAAAAGAAAAATAATTACATTAACAAAAATTTAAATTATTTTAAATTCATTTCATCACATTAACATTTGTGCTAAGGTCTACTGAAATTAATCATTCTGTTCTTTGCATGTGTGAATTGTATTTTGCATAATATACATACATACATATATATAAAATATTTTTAAATCTGACATTATTATGAAATATTATGAATGATTATTAAAGACAATATTTATAAAAATTTATATTTTTCTTTGTCTAAATTATTTTTAAAATCAATTGATTTGCATGACTAATTCATTTCAAGTTAGAACAGTATAATTTTACCGCTTCAATCAAATTGTGCAAAATCTCCAACACAGGTATGTCGAAGTTGGACATATAAACTCTTCGATTTTTTAGCTGTAGACTTTCTTGTTGCCAAAAAAACAAGTTACCAACTTTTCTGCATGACTAATTCAGTTCACATGCATGCCAAGGGCTAGTTTATATTGAGAAGGAGAGGCTAAGAAGCCCACAATCAAAGAACCAAAGTTTGAGGTTTGCCCGAAGATTTGAGGAGTTCAATTCAAGCCATTGCCGACAATTTCCAATTACTAACAGACTTGCCCCCAGAAGTTGTGCTCTTTTGGGTGAGATTCAAGCTTCTGTTTGTAAGGAAGAGGTACGATATTGTTTAATGTTTAGATGAAGACCGGTATATCGTAACGTGTGGCTTTTGATCACATGGTTTTCAACTTCACCTGTAATCTCACATGGTTTTCAAATTCATCTGCAATCAACTAGCGACGCAGCTACTACAATAAGATTCTCCAGCAAAATTTATTTGAGATATCATGCTGAAACTAACACCACAAAAGATTAATAAACTCAAGTAGAACTTTTCCTTTTACCTTTCCTCCATGTCAAACTCACCATTTAACTCTCACTGGCTCTGAAAATATGTCCATTCATTGGTTTCTGTCCCATGGCAGCTGCTCGATATGAACCATGTCTTCTCTTATTATTCTGGTGAAGCTGTTCAATATATGCATTCATATAAATAATCTTCCTTTCACAAACATTTTTCACAGGGTTTTCCAGTTTGATCATCCAATATTTTACTCTTTATATTTACTGTGCTCACTCTTTTTGCTGCAAGAGCAGTGAATTATATATTATCAGATATCAAATAGTTTGGGTCGCTTAGAAAAGCCAAAAATGAAGTTTGGGAAAGAATTTGAGGCACAAATGGTGCCAGAATGGAAGGAAGCATACACGGATTATAATTACCTGAAGACCCTTTTGAAAGATCTCCAACGCCACAAGCAGAGAAGCAACCCACCTGCAACTCCAGCAGGCCTAAAGAGAAATCTTACACTCTACAGGGCTTTCAGTGGTCTCATTCAGAGACAAACCCACCATTCGAGAGATCCCTATGAACAAGATATTGAGAGCCAACCCATAATGGTGAACTCCGTGGAACGAGATGGATCCGCGTGCTATCAAACTACTTTTCTGATGGTTGCAGAAGAAGGTGGAGAATTTGAGATGGTATACTTCAAGAGGCTGGATGATGAGTTTAACAAAGTGGACAAGTTTTATAGGTCTAAAGTGGAAGAAGTGATGAAGGAAGCTGCTATGCTGAATAAGCAAATGGATGCTTTGATTGCTTTCCGGATAAAAGTTGAGAAACCCTTTCAATGGCTCAATAGCACTTTGGAGATGACTCATCTTGCTTCAGATGTTTCTAATTCAGCAGCTGTATTATCATCTTCCACACCCAGAGCGGCCAAATTGCACGGTAAGCTTTTGAACCTCTTGGATTCACCACAACTTGCTATCTATCCTTCTATGTCTTCGTGTATTTTATAGCCTGCAGATGCATTGAATTCGTAAAAATCAGCAACATGCTAGCTAAAAATGTTTTCATGATCAGAGTAGTAGATACTAGCTCAAAGTCTATTGGTTTGGTTGTAGTAAATTTGCTATAATTAAATTAATACATGATTATATTTATTTAAGAAAAAATATCATAATAAATAGAAGACTGGTTTTATCCATTGCACTAGACTAAGGTCTGGTTTGCCGATTCTCTGTTCAAACTAATCGGTCCAATCCGATTTTTATAACATTACTAGTCACTAGTTAGGGTAAAACTCAGGATCAATCGATTGGCTCGATCATCTCGGAGATCAAATTGAGGTTGCAGAACAGTCATGGAAGTTTGGTCAATTGATTTAATCTTCAACTTCCTAAACAGGAAGTGTTGGCATGGCCAAGGAGACAATCAATGAGGACAACATTCATAATGGACAATCAGATGACTTTAGTGGGAGAAAAGATGATGAAATTCAACTTAATGGCCAAACGTTTCAAACAGATAAGGATAAAGATAACAGGGGTACCAAACTAGCTCCTTTGGAAGTCCTTAATCATGTTCGATTGAACAACACTCTTGAGACTCCTTGCTCAACCATAGAAAGCTTCCTAAATTACTCTAAACAAACCGAGCTGCAATTCAACAGAAAGAATTTGAAGAAAATTGAAGAACAACTCAAGCGAGCTTTCATTGAATTCCACCGAAAGCTTCGACTTCTAAAGAACTACAGGTTATGCACGCTGGCATTTTACTTTTTAAACATCACCAAGTTGTTTCCTTAATATTTCTCCTTAACTAATGTACTCGTTAATTAAACAGCTTTCTGAACACACTTGCATTTTCAAAGATCATGAAGAAATATGATAAGGTACTCCTCACCTTTCTAAAGCTACAGGTTGGCACAGAAGACAACCCACGAAATTTAATTAGTCCCTCTTCTTCTTTCACTTTACACTGCAGATTACATCAAGAAGCGCAGCAAAAGCTTATGTGAGAATGGTTGATGACTCCTACCTCGGTAGCTCTGATGAGGTGGGACTTTTATATGGAAGGAAAATGATCATCAAACTCGACATCATCATAATCTAAACCATGTCAATAAAAATTAGTAGACTTCTAAAATCCTTGCGAGATATGATTGCTCAACTTTCCATTGCAGGTCATCGGGCTTATTGAGAAGGTGGAGAAAACGTTCATTAAACACTTCTCAAATTCCAATCGCAATAATGGATTGAACCTGCTCAGACCAACACAAACGAGGGCAAGACATAGAATAACATTTTCCACGGGTCAGAATCAAGACTTGTTATAGTTCAAGAACTATCATCACAATTACATATGTAATCTATGGTTTTTTTCCCCCGACTTTTTCCTCTGTTCAAATTTTCAGGTTTTTTGGCTGGCTGCACAGCACCACTAGTTTTAGCACTTACTCTGATCATCCGAGCCCGCAAAATTGTGAATCACCCGGGGAGTACTCAGTACATGGAAACCATGTTTCCTCTTTATAGGTAGCCTCATTATTTAAGCTATAATTTGCTGGGATTTTATTTCAAAAGCTCATAGCTTAATCCAAAGAAAAAAAGCTTACACGTATGCTTTACCCTGTTAAAACTTTTCCTGCAGTTTGTTTGGATTCATAGTTCTACACATGTTTATGTATGCTGCTAATATATACTTCTGGAGGCGATACAGAGTAAATCAGTCATTCATTTTTGGTTTCAAGCAAGGATCTATGTTGAGCTTCCTTGATGTTCTCCTCCTAGCTTTTGCCCTTGCAGCATTGGCGCTAGGCGGTGTACTTGCGAACCTTGACATGGAGATGGATCCGAAGACAAAAGATTACGAAGTCTTCACTGAACTTATTCCACTGCTGTTAGTTATTGTAAGACTATTATACTTTCTCTGAATTCATTGGATCTTCATTCAGCTTCTAAACTTACCTGATGACTTTATTTCTTCCTCTGCAGATTGTAATTGCGATTTTATCATTCCCATTCAACATCATGTATCGTTCAAGCCGGCTTTTCCTTCTCACATGCCTGTTCCATTGCATCTGCGCTCCTCTCTACAAGGTAAATAATATGGTGGAACGCTAAATTAGCAAATACCCCCACTAACTGAACTCTATCCTTCTCTGGAAATCCAACTTATGCCATTTCCAAATGTTCCTTAGGTCACGCTCCCGGATTTCTTTTTGGCAGATCAATTTACCAGCCAGGTTCGTTTGATACAAAAATACTATCATAACGCCCTAGCATTTTACATATCCCATCTCATTCCTTTTTTATGCATTCAGGTGCAAGCTTTGAGAAGTTTTGAGTTCTACATTTGCTACTACGGTTGGGAAGATTTCAATCGCAGACAAAACACTTGCGACTCAAACAACATATTCCGAACATTTTCCTTCATTGTTGCTGTGATTCCATACTGGTGTCGTTGTCTTCAGGTACCGACTCTCACGTCTCAAAGTCACTTTTTAAGAGAGAAGGGGGGGGGGGGGAGCCTTGTACCTATTGAACGAACACAATGCAACACCCAAATCACAACCAAATTCCTTAAATTTTGTTGGGTCGCAATGCTAATATTTTTGCTTACTTGCTCCCAAATGATCTTCCTCTTTCTCCAAGCAGTGCCTGAGGCGATTGTTTGAAGAGAAAGATGCCATGCATGGATATAATGCGGGGAAATACTTCCTCACAGTATCAGCTGTTTGCCTCAGAACAGCTTACAGCCTTTACTTAGGAATGACTTGGAAGGTGCTTGCTTGGGTGTTCTCAATATGTGCAGCAATTTTTTCTACGTATTGGGACATTGTCGTAGACTGGGGCCTCCTGCGAAAGAATTCCAAGAATCGCTGGTTAAGAGACAAACTCATAATGCCTCATAAAAGCGTATATTTCGCAGCCATGGTATGAAAATTAACATAGAAATCTTCATTCTTCAAACAGAATTTGAAATAATTTTTATTTTCTTTACGCATTGTATGTATATATATATATATTTTTTTTTTCTTTTTTTCAGAATGGCTGACAAATTCTACTTTCGCAGGTGCTGAATATCTTGTTGAGATTTGCATGGTTGCAGACAGTACTGGATTTCAAGGTTAACTTCCTGCATAAACAAGCAATGATTAGTATTATTGCGAGTCTAGAGATCGTACGTCGGGGCATATGGAACTTCTTCAGGTAAGAAAGAGAATAATCGTCTGGAGTAATCTAATATTTTTCAAGTGAAAACAACTTAGCAATGAATTTCTGGAATTGAAAATTTCAGAGTGGAGAATGAGCATTTGAACAATGTGGGCAAGTTTAGAGCTTTCAAGTCGGTGCCCCTACCTTTCAACTACGACGAAGCTGAAGACGAGGATGATTAAGTCGGATCCACCACCAAACGCATAAATATGCATTTTTGACTAAAATATTCCTTTATTCATTTAACTTTATATAAAATTTTATATTAATCCTTACTTTTATAAATTATTTTTTCAATCTTTTAATCTTAATGCATTAACTTTATCACAAAAAAATTATATGTTACAACTTTTAAATATTAATAAAACATATTAAATTATTGAAATATTAAATTTAATTTTTTGAATAAAAATAATTATTATAAAATATACTCATTTGAAACTAACAATGTTAAAATTAAAAAAAATTAAAAATATTTTTTATAATTAAGAAATTAAGTTAAAATTTTATATATAATTTGAGGATGAAAATTACACTTTAACTTTTATTTTCCGAAATATGTGCAATGAATTGTAACTTGTGTCTTAGCATATCTAACGTAATTAATGGGATCCTATCAAGCATATATACAGTCACATAGAGAATGATAAAGGGATGATAAATGTATAAAATAAATTAAGAAAATATAACTTTTAGTCTCTATATTTTTTAGATCCTTGTATATAATTTTTAGATTCTTTATTGTAATTTTTTGGTCATTTTCTATAATTTTTGAGATCTTTTTTGTCATTTTCTGATTAATTAATTGTTAAAGTTAATTTTTATTAACATCAAGGATCAAATTATATCATTTTTAAAAGTCAAAAAATAATTTGTATAATAAATTAGTTCAAAGCCTATAGCATCACTAGGTTAAAAGTTTAAGAGATAATTTACTCATTTATTCATATTTTTATTATCAAAAGTTTATATATCATAAACTGATATAAACTAATTCTTTTACTACTTGTCAAATGTAACATCTCAATTTAAATTTTAATAGTTAATTTGGGTTAATAGAAATTTAAAAAAAAATAAATAATATTTAGAGGTAAGAAAATTAGTAGGAGATGATTATTAAATCTAACTTAGGATATAATTCTAAAAAAAATTAAAAAAAATTAAAAAAAATAATTAAAAAAATAAATAAATAAAAAATAAATTATTAAATTATTATTATAATAAAAGAAAAGGGAAAAACGTATTAAAAAAAAGGAGAAAAGAAGAAGAAGAACAAACTGCTTTCGGCGCGCATGAACATAAAATAAAAAAAAAGGGGGGGAGAGAGAGGAAAGAAGAAATAATATAAAAAAAATGTGAGACCCACTAAATTTTTATAAAACTCACCCGTTTCCTTTCATTTCTTCAATTCTTTTCCTGCGCGCGAGCTGAGGCGGAGAGAAGCGAGTTGCCGGTGCGAAATATCTAAATTTTTAAGGTAAGAGTTTTTAATAGGATATTTAGAGTGTGATTTTAAGCTTTTCAAGACTAAGTAAGTGTTCTAAAAATTTTTTTTAGTCATCCTTCTTCTTTAGTTTCTGAGTTTGTAGTGGTAGAAAATTTAAGATCTGGAAGAGGGATGAATTTATGTTGAATAAATATGGTTTTTGAGGTTGTCAGTAGTATAATAAATGTTCTAGAGTATAAATTTGTTGATGATCTTTGAATTTGTGGCTTATGGATCAAATTCTAAACTAGATATGAAAATATATGTTGATTTATTGAGGTTTAGATGATTATTTGGGATGAGAAATGAATTATTATGGTTATAGGATTATGATTCTAAGCTAGAGACTCAATTTTTAATTTTTGAATATTTTAGGTACGAATTTATGAAATAAAAAGAAAATTTTGATAATAGAAATTAGTTTAGAAGTTGATTTTTAGATTATTAATGTTTATTGATAATTAAAAGAGGAGTTAAAAATTTTACTTAATAGTATTGACTCTAGATTTGTATTAAGATTGAGATTAGGAATTATGTTATATTTTTAATTCTATTATTAGAATTATTTTATTAGTTTCAAAAATTGAAACTAATATTTATAAATAATATGTTATTTGTAGATTGTATTACTGGTGAAGATTGTGGTGAGAGAGAAATTTTAAGGAATAATTTATTGAAAAAGCCACAAGGTAACCATGCTTTTAATTTGTGATTAGTGTTACTTCATGTTAATTGGGTGATTATTGAGAAAATTATGAATTTTTGTAATATTGTATAATTGTGCAATATTATTATGAATTTGTTTAATTATTGTGGGAGGTGTTGGGAGACTTGCTATTATTGTTGTATTTATGTGCCACGTGGTACGCCCCTATTGGAGCTCAATAGGTGGCTTGTAAGGGCTCGGGCTAATCTACCTTTGGCCGGGTAATTTAGCACTGAGTGAGGGCTACGGCTCGAGATTAATGGAGGGATATAAGGATGGTTGTTTGTGTTTATTGTAATATTTCTTATATTTGTTGGAATTATATTATTTTTAATTCTCACTTAGTAAGCACACACTTAACTGTTTGTATACACTATCATAAATTGGCTTGGGTTACTGGGACTTTTGAGTCTCATTATGTGGTTAATAATTTTCAGAAGAAGAGTCACGAGTGACACGTGGAGGAGTCCCAGAGGCTTAGTGGTATAGATCCACTGTCTCTTTTGAGTATTTAATTTATGATTTATAATGTGTTATATTGCCAATAATAGGGCTTTTTGTTTATTGTCAATTATATGAATATATAAATGTAATCATGCCTTTCAAACTATTTCTATTTTTGGTACAATTTGGATGACTGTAATTTTAATATTTAATTTACTTTGGATTGGTTAAAATGGCATGATTATAAGGCCAAATAACTGACTTGTGTTGAAAATTTATTAAATTGCTTATTTTACTTGTTGGGAGTATAAGGATGGACAAATGTGATTTAGTTTACTTGTTGGGAGTATAAGGATGGACAAATGTGACTTAGCCTAATGGCATGTGGGAGGTAAAAATTTATCTGAAATGTTATAGTGTGTGAGTTGAAGCTAATTATAAAATATTTTATATTAAAATTATTGATATAAAAAAGTGTTGGGTAGCTGTAACCCAACTATGGTTGAGTTAAATTATTTAAAAAAAAAAAATTGGTGTGTTACATCAAATTCTTAAGAGATGTTTTTAAAGTTAGTAATGGAATTTATTATTCTGCATATGGTTACTTGTTAAAAAAAATTAATATGAATGGATATTTATAAGTGTTTACTTATTTTTATTACCAAGAGTTTACATGTCAAAAGTTTACATGAACTTATTATTTTACTAAAATTTATTTATCAAATTATTATAAAATTTTTTTAAAGTTAGTAATAGAATTTATCATTTTACAAATAGTAACTTATTAAATTATCAATAAAGACTTGTTAAAAAAATTAATATACACTAACTTTTATAAATATTTACTTATTTTTATCATTAAAAGTTTATTTGTTGAAAGCTTATATAAACTTTTTTTCCTAAAATTTATTTATCAAATTATTAAAAAAATTTTTAAAGTTATAAACATGATTTGTCATTTTAAAAATAATTACTTATTAAATTATTAATAAAAAATTGTTAAAAGAATTTAATTTTCACAAGTTTTTATAAATATTTGCTAAAATAATTTAACAAAAAAATTTTGGTAAAATAACAAATTTGCATTAGCTTTTGATAAGTAAACTTTCAGTAATAAACAAGTACAATTTTATAAAAATCAGTGTCTATTAATTTTTTTAACAAGTTTTATTAGTAATTTAATAAGTAACCATTTAAGAAATGACAAGTTTTATTATTAATTTTAAATTTTTTTAATAATTTAACATGTAAATTTTAGGAAAATAATAAATTTATATAAGCTTTAGATATGTTGACTAATTTTTGGTAATAAAAATAAGTGTACATTAAATTTTTTATAATAAATTCTTATTAATAATTTAACAAATGATCATTTATAAACTAACAAGTGTTGTTATCGATGGTCGGTGACCGATTTGATGATGGTGATGTTTTAGTAGGCAGTGATAGTAGGAGGAATATAAAAAATAAAATAAAATGAAGGGTAATTTTATTTTCTCACACTAAATTTTAATTATATTTTGGTCTATCAAAATTGTTTAGTTTTTTTTTTTGGCAAATAAGATGCTGTAGGGTTTTTTGGTTGCGATTTTCCCAATTTTTTTTCCTGGCTCATTTTCTCTGCCCCGCAAAAGTTGATGGCGATGCTTCTCGTCCTTCACTCTTTCTCCATCTTTGACTCACATCTCCTACAATGCACGATTTCTTCTGCAACCCTTTTTTCTTCCACCTACACACTTTGATTTTCAATCCCAATAGTTTCACAAATTGATTATGAGTACTTGTACGGACGTACCCCAAAATATTGTCAAAAGTCAAAACTTGACCAATGCCACCTGACCCTGAGGAAATTTGAATCGGCAACTAACAGCCTAACGTCATTGACGGGATGAATTATGAGGACCTAAGGAAAAGATTAAAAACAATAGGGACTTATTCAAAATCTAATAAAATTATAGGAATTAATGATTTAATTCCCTAATATATATGCAAAGATAGAACATTATATAGTTAGTTAACCAAATATAAATATAGGTTTTGGAAAATATAATCTAACATTAAAGTCTAACCATATACTTATTAATAGAATTGACCATGGATAGGAATATTTCAGCAAAACCTAATTTTAAAAACAAAATATTAATAATTTAGAATATATAATATCAATTCTTAGAGAGCTTTGCCACGTGGGAAGAAAACGTATCACCGTGATTGCACTATAAGAAAATGAATGACAAGGATGAAGGATCTATATTAGGGAGAGAATGACATAAAGGATCAATTAATTCAATTTAAATTGTAAATCTTAAATTTTAGGAGCTTATAAGTTTAACTCTTAATTTTATAATTTTATTATGATAAATTTATAATTTATGTTTTAAATTTTAATAAAAAAATAAATTTATTTTTTTAAGCATATTAAAATTTAAAAAATAAATTATAAATTTATCATAATAAAATTGTAAAATATTTAGACAAATTTACATGTTTTTGAAGTTTAAAATTCAGAAAATAAATTAAATTAATTGGTTCCCTTAAACATCTTT